TTGTTATTAGTTATAACTTAGAAATTAATGCAATTTATGTAAACTTTTTAAACAAATGCCAAACGAATAGTTACACACCTACTAATGGTATATGATTTAGAGGCACAGCTTTCTCTCTCTCTCTCTCCCTCTTTCTTTCTTTGCTAATAAAAAATGGTTCAGTTTTCAAATACAAACTATTAATAATAAGTCTTCGACAAAAAACTATCAGCACTTTATTGATAGTTATCTGTTATATAATTTCAAGTCCTATACCCATAATGTATAGCTTTATAGAATACTATAGCGCACAGAATATGAGTAAAGAGAACTCTCCCATGAATTCAAATTATTTTTCTAATTATTATTATCAGAATATCTTATAATTATAATTTCAATACTAAGTCCAGAGTCTGGACTCCAGACAATATGAGCAGCATTTTAGTCGCTTTATCTAAATGTTTAATTTATGCACATTTCGATCAATGCTTTTAATGTAATATATTTTTCTATATGAAATTCCGAGACTTTTCTTCTTTAATGATAAAATGTTTTAATGAAAGAATTGTTATTAGTTATAACTTAGAAATTAATGCAATTTATGTAAACTTTTTAAACAAATGCCAAACGAATAGTTACACACCTACTAATGGTATATGATTTAGAGGCACAGCTTTCTCTCTCTCTCTCTCTCTCTCTCTCTCTCTCTTTCCCTCTCCCTCTCTTTGCTAATAAAAAATGGTTCAGTTTTCAAATACAAACTATTAATAATAAGTCTTCGACAAAAAACTATCAGCACTTTATTGATAGTTATCTGTTATATAATTTCCAGTCCTATACCCATAATGTATAGCTTTATAGAGTACTATAGCGCACAGAATATGAGTAAAGAGAACTCTCCCATGAATTTAAATTATTTTTCTAATTATTATTATCAGAATATCTTATAATTATAATTTCAATACTAAGTCCAGAGTCTGGACTCCAGACAATATGAGCAACATTTTAGTCGCTTTATCTAAATGTTTAATTTATGCACATTTCGATCAATGCTTTTAATGTAATATATTTTTCTATATGAAATTCCGAGACTTTTCTTCTTTAATGATAAAATGTTTTAATGAAAGAGAGAACAAACGCATAGCAGACGGAAAGCACTCCTCAAAAAACTATGTACACATTTTTTTGTGCAAATATTTTTCACGTTCATTATTATTAACCAACTTTTATTGACTTATATGATCCGAAAAGCAAACACCGAATCTAATTAGTGAGCCGAGAGTTTTCCATACATTATCATATGTCCAGTAGTCTTACCTACACTTTAAGCCGCTAGTAATGAGGGACCGGTGCTTAACATGTATTGTGTTTGGCGTATAAGTGGGTGGTCTACAGGTCCTCATTAAGTAGAATATTTCTTAGAAACAAACTTCAAATACTTTTAGTTTTAACAGTTGTAGTGTTTATAGACTGTTAGCTAACAATTTCGGTGCTCTATTGACAGGCAAACACATTCCCGGAGGCTTACAGTCCGTGGAGCACGTCTTCTGCCCATTCAATGGCAGATATAGATTCACATACGGGGCCAACAATGGAGACCAACACTGCGACCAGAATTACTCGGAACTGAGCAATTGTCCGCATGGAAATGCCCTAGGGGCTAAGTTCAGAAAATGCAATTTTCCCAACTTTGACATACATTTCCTTTGTTTGGGCGATTGGGAGTCGAGCGCCGGTTCGGGCGAACGCTTCCTGGCCTTAATGGACCTGAGAGACCAGCCCGAGGCCCGACCCAAATACAGGTGCGGCCTCTATAGCGAAGACCCCAAAACAGGAAAGATCAACGTCTCGCTGTCCGCCGACTCGACCTGTTCCGCGCAGCTCAAGAGTGCCGACATTGGCTTCGAGACACTGACGCTGTCGCCGGTGGCCAACAAACCGCTGCCACTTCTGGCGGTGAACTCCAAGTGTCGGTTCCCGGACTGGATGCAGGGCAAGTGGCAACAGTCCAACATTGACGGCAATCGACTCGTCTTCCAGGACGAGACCAACCAATTCCGCACCATTACATCCCGTTGTATAATGAGACAAAACAATACACCAAACGAGCGCTTTATTGTCCATTCGGTGACCCAATGCGGAGACCAATCGTATACTTGTATTTGGATTAAAAAGAGGTCACCGAATATATTGGAGTTTCAATTCGCCGAAAAGTCCAGCGAAGTTATGACTGAAAGCCTGTGTAATGACAATCAGTTTACCTCAAACTGGATAACTCAAGGCAGTAAGTGTTAACTTTATGATATTTTCTGCTTACACTATATAACCAACATTTCCTACTATTAATTATTGTATTCGCATTAAACTGAATAATTGGATAATTAAATACACATGAAATATAATTTGGTCACAATTTTTATATTTTATTTGTTTTTTTAAACCCAATAGAAGGGATAGCTATAGCGTCGTCGACGTCTTGTCCGATAACTGGTGACTATAGTGGTGTAGTTCCGGGCGCTTCTGGTCTGTGCGCTAAAGTGGCCTCCGATTGCAATAATCCCGATATCATGTTCTATAGTGTCAGCAGTTGTGAGAATAGGACTCATGTCTACGAAGGTATGCTTTTTTAAATTTTAAACTTCTCCTATGGCTTACGGAACAACTGTATTGATAAAATTTAATGCATTTGTTGGCAACTATTAATGTGATTTGATTTAAAATATTTAACGTTTAATCGTTATATGCGTGTAATCATAATTTCCATACAACAATGAATGCGTTATTTAATTAATTATGAAATTTTTTCTTCGTGTATATAAAAAACTAATATAATTTGAATGAGAATTGAGAACAACACAAATGACTTAAGCCGAGCGAACCGTGAAATCAATGTCTGTTACCCTCCCCTGTGTTGGGCTTATATTAAAAAATCATACAAAGAAAATGAGTGCCTTATTATATATTGTCGAGTAATTATGTTTTAGTTTAGGCTAAATGATAGCTTCACTCGTTGGCTGTTTGGCCACTCTTTTAATGCAAATCATACAACAGCTGTAATACGGACTTCAATTGCCAGCAATTTATCACTTGAATTATAAGATAAAATGCTTTCAAAATAGTCTCCAAAATAGTGTTTCGAGTTTTTATATATAAGACTAAAGCAATGAAAATAGTTTTATTTTTACGGACGAATCCAAACATTTTTTGCTATTATTTTGTTCAAACTTAATGATGGCTTCAAAGAAAAGATTGTATATAAAAGGCATTCTAGAAGTAAATTTCAATTTTGTTAAATTCCTGATATAAACAAAAATTATTATAAGATATGATTGATTCAAGTGTTATATAAGTGAGAGTTGAGGGCAGAGGACGATTTTGTTCAGGTAGAGAGAGAGAGAGAGAGAGAGAGAGACTAATTGCTTGTTAAAAAGTGACGCTAAATTTGCGACTTAAACAAAATTTTAGGATTAATACATCAAATGCTTTTAATTAGATTTTATGTTGTTTATTCGTATAAATTTTTAATCTTTAAACCAAATATAAGATGAGTTAAATAAAAACATCGACACACATCAAAGTTCAATAGAAATTAATTAATTAAATCTAAATTAAAANCGAGAAGAGAGAGAGAGAGAGAGAGAGAGAGAGAGAGAGAGAGAGAGAGATCATTGGTAATACTTTATTTCACTATTTTATTTGAAGTCACGTTTGGGTTCTTTCATAAAAATATTTCTCTTCTTTTTCTCTGTTTTAAAACTTGAATTTTAAGTACATTTTAGGCGAAAATATTTTTCCTCCCGTTTTTTAAATATCGTTTGATTTATTTGTCCAATGATTTCCTTTTTCACACATTAATTCTGGGAATCGATTTTTCATTTCATTTTTTCACTTAATTTTTGTTTATTTCAAATAAAGAAATTTATTATAAAATATTAATAATTTTTGAATTCATTATTTTTTTTAGTTTGCAATTGATATCGAAGTTGAGACCAAAGAGCATAACAGGCTATTAGATAATGTGGTAATTATTTGGGTTTTGATTGAAATTTGTTAATTTCATTGTTTTAATGCACATACAATCAGCCTATCCTTCAATTGTATTGGATGTGCACTTTGTTTGGATCTCATAGTAAACTCCTCTATACAGCTCTAGTATTGGGTTTATCCTGAAAACCAATTCCTTATAAAGCGTTTCCGTTTTCTATGTATACTCTGTTTATAATTTGTATAACTATTAATTAAATAACATTTTTGCCAAAAAGTCATGAAAACAATGAAATTAATAAAAATATTTTAACATTTGTTGAAACTGTAAACACAATGTTTTTGCTCTCATAGGACAACGATTTTGATAGTAATTTAGGTTTTCTATTCAATGGTCGCAATCGTGTCAATCGTTTATTACAATCCGGTCGTCAAAACAGAAAATTTATGTGTTATCTCTCACTTGGATTAACAGTATTTTTGTTATTTTTATATTACTTTATAACGAAATCTCTTTTGAAAAGTTAATCATTTATTAATAATAATAATAATAAAGAATTACAAAATATTCTACAAAAATAATATATAAATACACGGTTTGTTTTATAAGTAAATATAAAATACAATAAAAACACATTTTAAAAAATGTTCTTTCATTCATTCATTAGTAGTATATTTTTTTATAATTTAAGAATTTGTTAGTTTTCTAATCATTAAAAAGTTATATCATTTATAATAAAATTAATGTTGTTTTTTGAGGCATGAGTTTTCAAACCTAAGCCTTGATCACAGACTTTAATTGGATTTTACACTTTAAATGTAAAAATATCTTTATATTAATTTAAAGCTTAGGTTTGAGATCTCATTAAAACTCATTTTGGATTTTTTTAGTGGTATTTGAGATAAAATATTTACAAAACAAGCTCTGAGTAGTAATAATGTCAATGAAATTGTGATTCTATAGGACTAGTTATATGTAAAATCAATTTGTTTCGTCTAATTGTATAATAAAAAGACTAACAAATTATTTGCCGAACAATTACTAAAACTATAACCAATGGTAGGAATGGCTTAAATTGCGAACACATATTCTTCTCCTCTTTTGTTTCAATCTTGCGATCTATTCGTTGAGAAATAGAAAATAATAATTTTAATACAAAAACTTCATGAAAAAGTAGTGTTCAAAAGTGAACAAACCTGTTGTGTTTGGTCGCCAAGATTTGGTGGTGGGTTGTGTGTCGGCGTCGTACCAGTACGGGTCCCGCGTTATGGCCGGTCGCGGCGGCGCCGGCGATAGTATAGGCTTAATGCCCGGAGCGGGCAATGGCCTGATTGGCGGGTATACTGACGGCTGGTGCGGAGGCATTGGGAAGCCTTTGTCGGGTTTCCAATTGGGACGGATAGGAACATAGGATGTGATGGGCGGCTGTCGTGGACACGAAGCTATGAATGCAAATAAACAAATCGTTATATTATTTGAAAATCAAACACAATGTCAATCATTAAATAGCAATGATATTTACCATGTTTTGTTATTTTCATGCCAAAAATGAGTGGATCTTCTCCTCTATTAATACAAATAAAAAATATACAAAATATTAGTTAATTGATTGGGGAGTGAATGGTGTGAGAATTATCATTAAAATAACTATTGCTATGTTTTATAAATAACTATAATAACAATCATTATAATAGAAACTCAAACTATTTATAAATCAATTATTGAAAAATGTGGAGCAAATAAAAGCATTTGAAGGGATGAGTGATGCCATACCTGACACAGCTCTCGCCCGCCTCTTTGATGAACGCCTCGTCACCGCTTCGATAGATTTTTCCGGCCTTTCATTGAAAAGCATTTATAAAAATGAAATAATTGTTAGCAATTTAATTGAATAAATGTGTGCCAATACTGGCAAATATAATAGCATACAAAGCATTGGTGTCCCGGCATATCCCTCCTCTGTGTGTATGTATAGAGCACTCCGTCCTCTTCCCAATTGCCGAGACATCGATATTCTCTCTCTGAAAAATACACAAAATTACAGATCATTAGACACAACGAAACACTCAAATCTTCGGTATAAACGAAAATAATTTGACAAAACATTTGAATGCAATTCAATGGAAATGTGGAAAATTTGCTCCAATCAGGCAATAGAGGCGATAGAAAAAGTTTCCAAACAAATCATTTCGTTTCTATTTTCAACATTCTCTCTCTCTCTCTCTCTCTCTCTCCCTCTTTCTTTCTTTGCTAATAAAAAATGGTTCAGTTTTCAAATACAAACTATTAATAATAAGTCTTCGACAAAAAACTATCAGTACTTTATTGATAGTTATCTGTTATAT